CAGCTTGAAATCGACCGGGAAGTTTTCCAAAATGATATTTGGCCAAATCAATGAGCTCATCGTGTGAAACACCTGAACAAATACACAGACAGAACAACCCTGGGGTTACATTTCACTGTAGTAGGACATCATGACTGGTTTACTGAGAATTCATGAAGAAATATTAATAACGTAAAACGAGATAAAGAGCTCTGACCTCCAGCAGCAGCCAGCACTATTCTGGGGCCTTTGTAGTGAGTGGTGATGTACTCCACCAGGTCTCCTCTGTTGATGGTCCTGCACCACAGACAAATATACAACTGACTCAAAGCAGGAAACAACTGTGAAGTGTGTACACAACATCACCTCACACTAATGCAGCGGTGCATTAACAATGAATGGTCAGACTCACTTGATGTTCTCAGAGGGGCCCAGGATGGTCCTGCCCAGAGCTGTGGTCTGATAGGCTGTGGCGTGCAGGTAATCAAAGACCACTTCCTGCAGGTTGGTCTCCACTTCCTGCATCTCTCTGAGGATGACCCCTCGCTCCCTCTCAATCTCCGCCTCGCCCAGCGTACTGTTCTGGATGATGTCAGCCAGAATCTCCACAGCTTGAGAAACAGAAACAATGTAACAATGTCATTTTTCAAACATATCTGTTTGGGATGTTCAGGGTGTTGTTTTACTTTGCTGTAAAAGGTAATGTAATTTACTTTAACATTCATCAACTTCAGCCTGTGACTACTAGAGTTTACAGGGTTTTTTAAAGTTTTTATGATTTCTCCAGGATTTGCTGACATCTAGTGGTGAAGTTGCAGCTGAATACCCCTGACAAACATGAAAGAGAACATGTGGTGTCATAAAAACTCAAAAGGAGTTTAGCTTGTCCAGTCTGGACTACTTTAAAAAACATGGTGGCCTCTGTAGAGAAGACCAGCGCTTCATATAAATATAAAGTATTTAGTATAAAGGGCTCATTCTAGGGTTAGGAAAACAACACTTAGTACAACTTAGATGAAACACACTAGTAACAACTAGTCTATATAATAGATGAGGCAAATATGGCTACATGATTCTTGAACATCCCCCAGTCTTTGATTATCAAAGATCTCTTCATCACTCATTTAATTGTCATTATGGTCCCTTCGACATCTAAGTGAGGCCTTAGTGTCACTCTGACACAGAGGTGCTCTGCCCTGCTGTATTGTACCTCGTGGAAGATCCTTGGAGAAAGCTTTGGCGTAATACACAGTCTGCTCCCGGGATGTGTAGGCGTTCAGGTGAGCCCCCATGTTCTCGATCTCCAGCTCTAGATCCAGCTGAGACCTTTTCCTTGTGCCCTGACATACACAGACACACAATGAACAACAGACACACAATGAGCAACATTAAAGACAAGGCAAAATATTTATTTTTTGAGTCATTAATATTAAATTTAAGTAAACATTTTTTGGATTTTGACAACCAAAACAATGTCACTGTACTAAAATTCCCTGTTCAGATCTAGCAGTAACACATGTCTTGAGTGATCTGATAACAAGTAGTTAAGGTGTGAACACACCCAAGACTCATTGAGAGCACTGTATCAACAGCATTGGGTCTTTACCCAGTGTGCATAGGGAGACATGAGCTAAAGGTGGGACATGGAGCGGTCAGTATGCCCTGTAATGCTGACGGCAGTGAGATTGTCCCTGTTTTGTTAGTATAACTGGAACTTTTCCCTGAGAGCTGAGTCCTAGTATCTACAAACATGTACTCAATAGAACTGTTTTCTTTATAATTGTGGCATATAGTAAATATTAAAGTAAATAAAAACCAATTAAATACAAACCACTGAGTCTAGTTAATGGTAGTAAGAATATTTCTGCACTGCTCTCATCTCACCTTAAACGCCATATGTTCCAGGAAATGTGCTGTGCCATTATTCCTCTGGTTCTCATAGCGACTGCCGGCGTCTATCCAGAGGCCCACCTGGAAGAAGTCAATGAATAACATTTATATATTATTTAAACACACTGTCGACTGCTACTGTACCACAACTTCAGCCATAGACATCAAGTGAGCTCAACTGCTGTTGTGACGGAGCTAAACTTTGGAAGCAAATGTTATAGGAACTTTTACAATCTCTTAATGTGTAGAGTATATTATGGAGGAGGGGTCCTTTAACATGCACCCACTGTGTTAAGGGACACACTATAGGTGACACATCCACTGTGTATATCATCTAAAACTGTTGCTTTCTTAATCTTGACCAGTGTCTGCTGTTCTCTCTTCTCTTAGTTAAATACATTAACATAGTGATATAAAACAACACACAGCAGAAACGTCTTCTATAAATGGGTTGTTGAATAGTTTTGTATTGCACACACTACCTCAAATTTACAAGTAGGAGGAGAACCAAATGTTAAAATCTTCTAATAATACATTAGTTATACATTAATCAATCTTGAGAATGTTGTCATCGATTTCCTTAGTTTCATGCACTTTACATATTTGGATTATTTATTTTAATTTTACGAGGTGTCCCAAAACTCATTCTACAACATGAAACACACAGCTACATCATAAATGCTTGACCTGTAGAAGATAGTCTGGCCTCAACAGAGCAATGACTCATGATCATTTAATCAGTAGCAAACTCAATAAGATACTTGGAACAACCTGAATCTATCTGCTGTCAAGCATTCTGAAAAACTGTGCACAAGTTTAACAAGAAGAAATGGTGCTGTTTTTAAATGCAGAGGTGATATTGATTATATTTCTGATTCAACAAATAAAAGCTGTTTGTGGTATTATTATAAATAAAACATCCTCTCTTTGCTTTTAGTGCCCCAAACGTTTGCATAGTACTGTAAGAGCAGCTTCAGCCACAGGCTCATCCAACCCCGCTGCTCTAAGGAGCGATACAGGAAATCGTTCATTCCAACCGCAATAAGACTCTACAACTCATCGACCTCTGTCAGAGCCACCATCACAGAACTGCACTAACATACCTGTCACCTTTGCACCATGTACCCTGCACTACACTACGTGTGTTAATTTAAACCACTTTAATATTACAGACCATTTTATAGAATAATATTGTCTTTTGCACATCCAGTCCACGTATTCTTACACTGCCAGTATATTGTATAGTCAMGTACTTATATTTATACCCTACTATATATTATATATCATATCATATCATACTCTGCATATTCTCTGTATATTCTTCGGATTTACAAGTCTATATACACATATTTATACATGTGTACATGCTATTATTATATTATTATTATCACTACTACTACTACTATTATTATTATTATATATACTATTGCTGCCATTATTACTATATACTGCTATTATATTGGTATAATTACTGTCTATATAAATATATATTATGTTATATTGTATACTATATATATATAAATATATACTGTACTAATATTCTTATATACTGTCTAACAATAACATTACCATCATATTATTACTATTATCATCATATTGCCACTGCACTACTTGTCTGCCTATTCATCTTGTGTTTCTGTTTTTGTTCTTTTTACCTAAATGTTTTGTTTTGTTTTGTTCTATTGCATTGTGTTTTGTTGTGTTCCGATACACAAGCTGATATGACACCTTAATTTCCCTCCGGGGATGAATAAAGTACTCTATCTATCTATCTATCTATGTGAATACTAGAGTAGTTTCACACAGGCTATTTACCACAGTGAGGTTTCAAACACTATATTGTGAATTTCATGATGGAAATACAGTTGTTGTGGAAATGATCAAAATATGACATCGCAAAATGTAAGTGAATTAAATATGTGGTTTAATAACAAATAAAAGCAGACATGATCACAATATGTCATTATGTGAATTTTCTCACAGACACCAAAACAAAACCCTCCCTGCTTCTTTTTTTCCAGCTGATAAACATGGGGTGAATTCTCTGTGATCGCTCGTGTGAGAGGAAACATCGAACTTACTGTACATGTGGTGAGTCCAGCGTCCTCAGAGGCGACCCGGAGCCCGTTCTCCAGCGTGCTGACCTTAGTCTCGGGGACATTTAGCGCCACCTGCTGAGCAGCCTGGGTAGCCAACAGTCTGTGTGATCCGGCTGGAAGCTGCAAGCGCAAATCCAACAAGAGTCAAGATGACGCCCCCCTTTGTGCACACTGACGCAACAGCTGATGTAACTATGTCATCGATGAGTTTCACAGAAGCACACACGCCAAACTTAAACTCTTCTATCTTTAATAAGAGTCCATCTTGGGAAAGCCGGGCACGATTCACCTGTTAGCTAGCGTTAGCAAACACGTTAGCAAACATTCGACCGAGCGACCCACGCCGAGTGCGTCTTCTCCGTGAGACCGTACAACGACACCCGTCAATAAACCGCCCAGGGGGTAAATATCACACACATAGCCGGTGTCACGCTCCTCTTACCCGGTTTAGAGAGTTTATTTTCAGTCTTTGGAGGAGAATTCTCCCAGAAGACGCGAGACGCTGCACGGACGCCGCCATGTTGTTTGTTTGTCAAACTGCGCATGCGCGAGTTCCGGTGACGTATTATCCGCCGGAAGTGACGAATGTTTTCATTACAACAATAAAATTGTTCGAAAATGAACAAAATAAATAAAAGTCACAATGAAATCGTTTCGTTAACACAACTTGATGTTTAAACACCACGTTTATCACGTATCAACCTTGCACAGATATACGTTACAAAAATACAATATATTAGTGGTAACTTAAAAGACGAGGCAATGAAATGTAAATAAGAGTTTATTTTCAACTGATATTGTGATAGTGACAAATATCAAATTGTCCTACAAAGTGCATCACAGTGAAAATACATATGTACATACGTTTTGTTCAATTTAAAAATAAAAAACACATTTTGAATTAAATGTTATATGTTTCTACGATATTATGATAAAACATTAGTATAAAATTAGTGGTCTTAATCGTGGATTTACAACTTTTTTAAACACATTTAATACTTGCATTCTTCGTTGATGTTTAAGTTTGCATTTACAATTTTTTTTAATCAGTGGTCTGCTTCCTGGGTCACGTTTATTTTGAAAGGGTCTGACGCTTGTAAAGTGGAAGCGGGGCTTTAGCTTAGCGCGAATTTTCTTCAGTGAGTCTCTCAAGTTTGCATGAAGATCGTGCACCTGATCTCTGAAGTTCACTGAGGGGACGAGACTAAAGGACAAGCGGACAGAGACCCAGCTGCTGCGCTCCTCTGAAGGGGATTCTGTCTGGACACAGTCTCGTGTGAGTCTTCACCAGGTTTAGTGTTAACTTCTGACGTTAGCTGCTACTGGACAGTGCAGTTAGCTGCTGTTGCTAATTGGGGGCCTTAAGCTGTTGCATTACAACAACAACAGCTCGTGGTCTTTGCTGTGACTCCCTGACAAGAAATGGCGGATGGTGGGGATGTAATGGCCGGTGATCTGGAAGATGGAGAGATCTCCGGGTCCGGCTCGGACACAGAGATGGGGACCACGGCAGCAGGAGCAGAGAGTCGACCCCGGGTTCCTCCAGCTTTCAGCGGCCAGTCCTTCCAGAACAGAGCCGCTGCCCAGCCCCCTGCAGCCGCCTACCGCAGCGCCGGGAAGACGGCGGAGTCCAGCGACAGTGAGCAGGACTCGTCGGATGAGGAGGCCTCTGTTTGGCGCAAGAAGCGTCAGAAAGTGTCCAACGCTCCGCAGCTTCCTGCCTGCACCACCGGCCGGGCTGTGCCGACACGCCTGCCCGACCCCAGCGCGCCGGGAGGCCGCAAGGTGAACAACATCTGGGGCTCAGTGGTCCAGGAGCAGTGCCAGGACGCCATCACTGCAGAGCTGGGTATATTCGGCATGGAGGGTGATTTCAGCATGTCCAGCAGGAATGTGGAGACTTACAACTTTGTCCTCGCTCGTAAGCTGATGGAGAAGGAGAGGGAGCAGGAGATGCAGTCACGGGATGATGGAGAGGTGAGCATGCTGGACGCCCAGCTGGAGGAGTACATGAAGGGCCGGGGGTCAGAGGACGAGCCAGGAGCTGCTGCCAAGAGGAAGAGGTCAGCTAAAGAGAGACTGGGCCCCAAGGCTGAGATGGACATCAAGGGCAGGTATGAGATCACAGAGGACGATCCTGAGGACAAAGTGGCAGATGAGATAGCACACAGGCTGCAAGAGCCCAAAAAGGACCTGATAGAGCGTATTGTTAAAGTTGTGGGGGTGAAAAAAGCCGTAGAGCTGCTCGGAGAGACTGCCACACTGGAGGAGAGTGGAGGGGTGTACACCATGGACGGCAGCAGGCGACGGACACCCGGTGGGGTGTATCTCAACCTGCTGAAGAACACGCCCAGCATCACCAAGGCCCAGGTCAGGAAGATATTCCTCGATGAGAACCAGAAGGACATCAAGAGCAAGAAAGCTGCTCAGAAGAGGAGGCGGCACATGGTGGCCAAGGAGATGAAGCAGGCCATCGGGACACTGAACCTGCAGGAGCATGACGACGTGTCCAGGGAGACCTTTGCCAGTGACACCAACGAGGCCTTGGAGTCACTGGAGGAGGCTGCAGAGGAGGAGGGTGAGGAAGAAGCTGCTGTGGGGACCGAGGAGACGGCGGTGGTGTACAACTCTGCAGACCTGGAGGTCTTCTGAAGCCCTCCTGCTGTTTGAACTCTAAGAGGTCTGAAAAAGGATGACTTGTATTTAAAATTGAAATCAAACACTGAAAGCACTGAGTGATGATAACAGAATCACACGTGTCCTTTTTCTTACCTTAGCAATGAAAGGAGAGTTAAAGTTTTGTTCGGTGCAGCATGGATTACTAGATTTATGCACATGTAAACAGAGTAAAACGATTGATTTGTGTTACACATGTTGTCTGCCTTTAAATCAGATTCTGGATCATCAAACTGAACGGAGTTGTTGCAGGATACTGTTTATGTTGTTGATTTCTTAATATAACCTCTTTACTCTAATATTCAATATGAGATAATGAGGTCTTGAGTTGATTTGTTTGTTTGGTTAACTGTCTGGATTATAAATAAAGTTGACTGGGTATATTATAAAAAAATAGTTTGTCTGTACAGTTTTCCTTTTTTATGATCATCATTTAAAGAAATTCACATTTAGTCCATCATATTCTGGGATGTGCACAAGATGTCATTTTTGGGGCTCAATAAATTGATCAATAAAGTATCTGAATACTGTAGTGAGAGAACTTGAACTGCTATAGTAGTGTAGAGGTTTGTCCACTAGATGGCAGGCTAACTCTTCCCACAAGGTCTAGGACAAGATAAAAGTATTGATTACACACAGGAAATAAAAGCAAGAACCACAAGTAGATGAATAATACATGTTAGAAAAATGCACTTAAGAAAACAGCCACTAGGGACACACTTTTGGGTAGCTCCAGTGCCGGTCCCAAGCCCGGATAGATGGTGAGGGTTGCATCAGGAAGGGCATCCGGTGTAAAACTTGTGCCAAAACAAACATGCGGATCACAAATAGGAGGGGTAGTGGATATATTGGCAGATGATCCGCTGTGGCGACCCCGAAAAGGCAGCAGCCGAAAGATGAAGAAGAAAAATGCACTTAGAAAGACTGGAACAGGACGATGAAATTAAGTGTGTATACATGGCAGCACTTAGCAGTTATACTGCACTTAAATATGAATGACATCAAGTTGAGTGATTATAAAATAGATAGCAGCATAATATATTGTATCATTAGTGACAGCAGATATATCAGGCACTAGACTTGATGTCCGGCTCACTGCATAATCCATAGACTATGCACAAAGGGCCTGTGAAGACTGTTGGCTGTGTTTAATGGATCACAAGTGCAGCATTGATTCTGGAGCTGCAAAACAAAAGTCATGGCTGAAGAGACAGCGCAGAGTTGAAAGGCTGAATCAACCCTTTAACAATTAAGGCAAATTGGTGTGCAAGTAAAAATGGCCCTAAAAAAAACAATGTGTGTTCACAGATATGTGGAGTCATTACTCAACTTGTGCCTGTTCTCATTTATCTGCCCATCCACATCTACACTGTCACAGTCACACGGATCAACATCTGCACAGTCTTCCTTGTTGTGTCCATCTTTCAGTCGTGCATTTACAGCACACAGCTCCTGGATGGCAGCAAAGGTCTGGTTATGGCGGCGGCAACGGTACAAACTTTTCAGATGCTGTTATTCATATTAATGCCATTATGGTGATGAATTTACACATGATAACAACTCAAAAATGATTTGTCAGCCATCTATATATCAGACAGAATTATTTATAATGCTTTAGTCCATGAGCCTGTATTTGTTTTTACAAATTTTAAAGAAAATGTTGTTTTAGTTGAGTTAATTCTGTGAAGCTCTATAAGTTGATAAAATGTTGTGGGTTTCCAGAGGGATTTACTTAACTATAAAATTATTATTGAGGTTTTAAAGAACTATGAACTTGAGGGTGAAGGACTGGGGACATTGCAGCTTGTTAAGCCCTATGAGACAAAAGTTATTTGTGAATATGGGTAATACAAATAATATTTGAATGATTGAGAAGAAATATTCAATTTAATCAATGACTGAATCTTACATCTAATTATATTGTTGCTACACCAAAACCTGCTTGTTAATTAAATAATTAGGACTTTTTAAAGCTGCATCAACTAATTATTTAGCAGAGTCAGTTTTTGCTCAGTTTTCATCTCAACCATCTCCTTCGAAAATTCTCCGAAACTTCAGCTGCTCAATGTTCCTTCTTCTTCACCAGCTCGCGGCCGCTACATCTGCCCGTCTCTTGTTTGATGCCAGGCAGCGAGCGCACAGTGGGCTCATCGGATCTTCTCCTGCTGAGAAAAAATGGATGGATAAGAAAACGTGGTTAACAAAAGCAGTTTTTAAGGTGTCGAACCAAAACAACTTAACAGCTAAAAAGGCTTAAAATCTCCACAGAGTTAAAGGGAACTTTAACAGAAGATACACGTACACGTACATAGACGTCCTTCACTTTCAGTATAAGAAATCTGATTAGTGCAGCTTTAATGTTCCATGTACAATTGGCATACAGTTCACCATCCAATATTTGCTTTACAAATGAGAGTTTTTCCTTGCTAAAGCAGCTGCATCTAGATCAAAAATAAAAGTATGCAGTCGCCTCGCACAGCTCCAGGGAGAATGAAAGCCTTTAATGGTGGCAGTGGATTTGTCAGCTGAAGCGCCTTGGAAATGATCATTATCTCTGCTTGTGGCTGCCACATGAAAGGCCCAGCGTTCTGGCAGCAACACGTTTGATAATCCCACCACTTACGGCTGTTTGCGTATTTGCTGGCGGATGTGTTGTTTCTGATAAGACGTCACTGTGTACGTCCCGGCTCCGCGCGGCGGTTAGGCGAGCTGATTAAGGTTTCGCGAAAGGTGCTGGGATCAACTTCCTGCAGTTGAGTTTTACAGCTGTCCCCTCATCTGCACATGTGCTGGGTTTATTGCCACGAAGAAGAACATCGTGTATGTGGTCATATGATGGCAAACAGACCTGTATTGTTTGCTTTAATGGTGAAGGCGATCAAAGCGGGATTATCAAAGAAATGTGTAAACTGCAGGAGGGGAATGAAGCTCTGCCTCGTCTTATTCATGTGGAATTGTAGTCTCTGGTCTCAGGACCTCTTTATCTGTCACCTGGCAACAAACTTGTTGCCTGGATACAACACCCTGTTTCTTATTTCCATTGGATCAAACAGGACCACTGGTTGAAAGACTTGTATCTTTGGACAGGAAGGGGAGGCATCAGCATGATGTCAGCATCCAGAGAGGTTCGCTGCAGCAAACAAAATGTCTTTTGCTCACGTCTTTGTCCCTACAGTTCTGTGAGCATCTGCTCTCTGAGGTTTTGTCCACAATCACCGAGCTTTTGGAGAAACAGCTTGTGTCGCAAATTTGGAAAATCAGAGGAGTCTGTTCACAGACATCTTTTTTTCCCCCTCTAGTGATCACAAAACAGAAATCAGAGTTGATCAGTGCAGCCTTTTCTGACCGAGGGACCTGCTGACAGAGGCAAGAACGTCACCACGGTTAGACGTCAGATCCGTGAGACAGGATGCAACACTCAGCGTGTCCCATTCTATGTTCTCTGAGCTGCTGCAAGTGGCCAGAAGAACCGCAGTAAAGGTGAGTTAGATAACATCATCAGAACACTATTGAGAGCAGTCAGTGACTCATCACTTTCACCCAAAACAAAGGTGACTCAGTCGGGAGGAGAAAAAGAGACGATGGATCATGTTCATTAAGTGTGTGTGGCCTCTGGGGATGATGTCACTTTAGTTATTGTTATTCTACTGAGGAACATTTCACACATGGCTAATACAGAGTTTTTAATTAGCTGCAATGTTGGCTCGAGAGCTTGTTGATGGTGCTTCTCATTGTCAGACCGAAAAAGGGAGGAAGGAAGTAAAGCAGGATGCAAGTTGTACAAAGCGGCGATCTGAATGATATCACAGTTCTAGGGTTAGGGTCAGAGCAACCCTCCACACCTGCTGTACAATACGTGGGATATAAATAAACCGTGTGAAATCTGATAAATGACCACAGATTGTTTTCCTTTGAGTCAGGGTCAGTTGAGGCTGAAGGCTGGAAAACATTGCAGACTCGACTCAAACTCAGATTCAGTCTCAGCTGTGCACTGAGCTGCATGTTGAAATCTTAAGGTGCGTTCGAATCGTCAATTTTGCTGAGGAACCTCTTTAACTGAGTGAAATTATGTGGAATGGACACAATCATTTATTTCTCAAACTACATAAGGTTTTCTCCATGTATACTCTTCACATTGTGGGAGAAAGTGGCTGGTACTGGTCACTAACCCTAACCCTGTCAGATGGCACAACCCAGAATGACCTTCATCACCTGTACAATGTCAGGATTTTAAAGCGGACCAGAACAATCCTCGACGATTGAAGCCAGCCACTGGTCATAGATACAATCTGCCAAGATGCAGAACTAATATATTTAAAAAGACATTTATCCCTGCTGCCATCAGCCTCTTAAATGACTCATTATGATACATTTCATTTGTCGATGTATTTATTTTTATGTGGCTTGACTTTATGGGGTCACCGCTGTACAACTAACTGCCCCTCAGGGGATAATAAAGAAACCTTGAGCCTTGAATTAACATTCAGCGTGTTGGCATGCTAGCATGGAGGCATTACCTTCAAAGTGCAGCTAAGACTGAAAAGGGACGTATTAGATCATTATTCATGAACTAAATCGGTTGGAAATTGAATGGAAATGTTCCCTTGCTGGTGCTACAAGATGCCAAGTCAAAGGTAAAAGTCATTACCCTCCTAGGAAGGAATGATTGCAGTTCATCTGATAATTGTTGGGATGTTTAGTTTAAGTGTCGGGCTGACAAACCAGTGTACCACCATCCCCAGAGCAGCTGTAGAACTCAAAAAGTCTTAATAGAAATGACCGTGATCCTTGTACATACAAGACGAATGAAATGCTCTTTATAAAGTGTTCCTACTTTGCATTGTAGCGATGAAGCGGACCAAATGATGTGACAATCCAGTCAAATGAAGCATGAAATTGATCGTAGGCTGACAAGAGATCCTCACAGTCGCTTCAAAGAAAGTGACATCCTTTCAAACCAAGCATGAAATTGATGGTGGTGGCCAGAAATAAGAGGAAGAGGGAAATAATAATGTAAAACTGATGACTTCCCTTTTGACAGCAACAGTGCTGCAATGGGAACAGCCCCTCTCTCTCTTATATAAATATAAAAATATTCATATGTGCAGCTTGTAGATGAAGTATCTGTCCCTATCTTTTTTTTTTTACATCCGCAGCCATCACTGAATATTCTAACCCATGAAACTGCCAAACAAACTTATCATGGCTCAGGTCAGTCTAGTGACCAGACAGTTTCAGGTTTGATCCCTAACTCCAGTGTGCGTCTCGAGTGTCCTTGAGCAAGTCACTGAGCCCCTCACTGCACCAGATTCTGTGTCATCGCAGTGTGACTGAGACGTACATTGTAAAGTAGTCGACAGAGCAGAAAAGTGCTATCAATAAGACGTGGGTTTCTTTTCCTCACAGAAATTTCCGATTGTTGCTTAGGTACAGATAAAGCCTTCACTTCTCTCTCCCTGCTTTGTCCTTGTAGCTGTTCCCCTGCAGCTTGTTTCTACTATGTCACATTGAGCTACTACTTTGCGTATCGTAGCTATAAGCTTTACATGAAATGACTTGAAGATAAGAAGGGCCTGATGGTTGTCATGTACCTTTT